TGTTTAAGTTGCTGTTTCTGAGCTTGGTGCCTCTGCCCCATGATGGCACGGGTGCCAATCTTTCTCAGCTCCGGCCTCCTCTCCTGGAAGGTCTGATCACCTCTCACCAAGCTCACTCCGGATTTCTGATACCCCATTGCCTTCTTTTGCCCGACACTGAGGCAATATAGACCCGATTACCTGACTACACGGAATTCATTGTCTGACACAATACAGCAGCCTGGAACAGCCCGGAAGGCCTGGAAATGTGTTTCTGTGACTGCACCTACGAGGCACTGCCAGAACCAAGGGAGGGCACCGGAAGCTCCGAATGCAGACAGCGCTTCCCACAAGCTGGGTCCCAACCAGAGCTTGTTATTTAACTTGCTTCACACCCTGACTGACTCACCAGTGACGCTTAGTGTGTCCCTGAGAAACAAAGCTAGCTGGGGACTGCAGGACAGCTGGTCCCACAGCATTACTTTCCAAGTCTGTCTCCAGAGTGAAAAACAAACACTCAGAGATAAAAGAACCAAAATACTCACCATGATGTCAAAATAGAAAACCTTTCCCCCAACAGCTGACGCGTAACTTGCACCCGACTACTGCAATGAAATGACACAGGTGCGCTGCTCCTCGGCAAAGAAATAGCAGAGCACTGAGGGGCAAATGGAACAGCAAGGTCGCAAATCGACCCAGGTCTACAATTCCGCTGTCAGACACGTCGTCAAGTAAGGGACACTGAACCTCAGCAGCGCATTCTCACAGAAGCGGCAGAGCCCAGCGGCAGTGGGTGCTAATGCCACTGACGGCTTCCTCAGTGCCTAATGCTGGGCACAGTGAAGCTTGCCTGTGATCCCAGCACTCCAGGAGGCTGAGGCAGGAGGATCAAAGCTGGAGCCCAGCCTAGACAACTTAGTGACTTAATAAAACTGCACCTCAAAATAAAAAGACATAAGCAAAAAAGACTCAGATCAAAAGCCCTGAGTTCAATCCCTGGAGCCACAAGATGACAACAATAAACAAGTGTCCAAGCTGCACTCTCTCTAGGCCAGGGCCTGGCCCTGACCCTGCCACAGGTCAGGCCAAGCACCCAGCCTGCGCAGGCCTGCCTGCGGAAGGGGACACCTCCCAGAGCAGAGACCTTTCCTTTGCCCCTCAAGAGGCCTGCGGGGCTGGGGCTGCACAGAGCAGGGTCTGCGTCCTCCTCTGGGGCCAGAGATCTTCCGCCAAACGCTCCGTGCCCAGGGAGAAGCATGCATCCATCACTACGCACCAGCTTAGGAACCAGTGCTTCTTGAGTCGCTGCCCAGGATAGAAAAAGGTCGTATGGAATCAAATTGGCAGGAAGAATTGAGTGCCGAGTTTCAGTTCAGATATCTGCACGGGAACACAGCCAGACCTCAGGGTTAATTCTCCACGGGGGAGACTCATCAAGGTCTGATTTCGGGATTAGAAGTAACAGCTCTGATTTTCTAAGAACGGGTTTTGGAAATTTTCCTCTCTAACGGAATCAATGCAGGCATCATTTGTGTTGGAAATGCTCACGCCCACTTCTGAGTTAAGTGCCTACGAAGCCCAGAAATGGCTTTAAACCCAAGGGCCACTCAGTGCTCTACTGTACCAGGTCCTTCTGGGACCTGTGGGGACAGACAGAGCAAGCCAGGCAGGAGCTGTATGTTTGCTGAAATAAGTGGCATCTGCTTTGGTCCTTTCTCTTTTCAATCTAATTTGAAAGCTTAGGGGCCAAATCTATTCCTGTTCCTGCCCTTCATACAGGACACTCGTGAACTGACAGAATGGTGACACCCACTCCAGTATTTCTGTTGGCTAGAAACGTTAACTAAGGGTTTAATTCATGGGGGATGGGCAGGCAGCGACTAGGTAGCTTAAAACTTACACTGACATTCAAATGTTAAGTTCAGTTCTCTTTTTCTAAACCAGTGTGTTTTAGGAGAACAGTGGTTTTAGCTTTAAAAGTTAGGAGAGGGGAAATAAATCCACCCAATTAAGCAAAAAAAAAAAAAAAAAATCCAGAAATCATTAACAGCATACCTCTCCTCAAATCCATTAATTCCTATGAAGCAAAATTTTCCTCTTATTTAGAATCTCTCATTTGTGAACTAAAATGGGTGTTATTTATTACCAGAGAACAAAAGAGAAAATTCACAATTTAAGGGTGAGGCAGAGGTCCCCTTGTAGAAGGAAAGAGGACGGCCATCTGTGTGCAATCACAGCAAGGTCTCTGGCCATCCAAGCCCCGAGGCCTCAGGCAGACCCAGGCATTTTAAGGACGCAGGTAACCCAGCTCGGCCCTTAATCACCACCTAGCATTCCCAAGCGCCCGTTATTATGAACCCTGACAGGCTCTCATCTGGCTGGGGAGGCGCCTGACATGGTAAACAGGCCAGCCAGGCTGGGCGTCAGGTGATGCCGGCCAAGACCCTGATCTCCAGGTGGCAGTGGACGGCCTGACGTGGGCTCTGGCCCAGCCACTGTTCGCCAGGCTCAGCAGCCTGACAGCCGGCCAGTCTGCACAGCCAGCCCTGCTGCATGCTGATCTTTTTCCCAAAGGCACTGATTTTCGCTTGTGATAAGATTTTTATGCATTTGAACCTGTATAATGTTTGTCTCTCCTTTTAAGTTCTGAGTCCCTCAAAAGCTGCGTGTTTGTTTTGGTTGGGGCCTCACACTGTATGCGGCCCTGAGAACAATGCCAGGCAGCCAGCATGCTCTCCACGTGGGGCTCACCCTTACTGATGGGCATTTCAACGTGGGGAAGCCCACCCAGGGAAGGACAGGGCAGAGGTGCGAGCTGAAGGCCAGAGGAAAACAGTGCGTACAGGAACTGACTGGAGCCAGAAGAACAGGGCCCAAGCCCAGCAAGCAAGACAGCCAGAGGGCCAGGCCCAGGGTGGGTCTCTGCACACCAAGGAGCTCCACCCAGGCCAGGGAGCCTGGGCCTCACACTGCACAGCGGGCGGCCCAGACAGGCGCCTTGTTGGGCACTGAGGCGGCGGCCGCAGTGAGATGCGCCAGCCAGCAGCTGCTCCTGCGCCGGTGGCAGTGGGGGTCCTGGCATTGCCCGATCATGGGTGACAGATCCAGGCACTCCCTGGGCGGGGAAGTTCTGGGGAAAATAGCAAGATCCAATGCGGAACTGAACCGGATGTGTACATCGCCAGTGGCTTCAGCTGAGTTTACAATGCCTCGCTGGCTGTTTAAATCAGGGCAGCCAAGAACCGACTGCCAGACAAATTGTCATTTGAGGGCCCCTGGCGCGCTGTCCAGACCAACAAATAGGCTGCCGGGAGTGAGGGACAGGTGGGCCCTGCAGTGCTGGGGACCGGGTCATCAGAGCTGCAAGCAAGAGAAGGCTCGACGCCCGGGGAGGCCCTGCTCAGCAGCTCGGGCTGCTCACCTGCGATTAGAACGAAGTGCGGGAACTGGGGCAGAGGTCAGAGAGGCTTCTGTTTCTGTTTTTGTTTGGAGGGGGGCAGTGCTGGGGGCTGGACCCAGCCTTCACACTGAGCTGCACTCCCAGTCCTTTCTACTCTGTTGTGAGACCACATCTTGGTAAGCTGCTAAATTCCACAGGCTGGAATGGTCCTGCCTCAGCCTCACAGAGCGCTGGGATTACAGGCAAGCTGGACATGCTTGAGGGTGCAGCTCCGCTGTTTCTGAGGCTCTAACTTTTCACAGAAAACCCAAGTGAGACCCAGAATAACTGCTCTCCTAGGGTCCTATACATTAAAAAGTGGGTCCCTCCCTACCTGGCCAGTTAATTACTCAGCTGCCACCTTGACCACACAGCACGAATTAAACTTCCCTGGGACACACATACATCCTCTCGCATGCTCACACACACGGCCCACCTGACCCCCTTGAACTCCCCCCAGGGCCGTAGAGCGTTCAAGGCCACTGACTCCACCTGGCTACGCTGGACTGGTCTGGGTGGCTGCCTGCGTGGGGTACCGGCACCATTCTTGTACTCTAGGTAGAGGTGCCGACGGCCCAGCTCGCCTCCCAGTGCCTTTGAACCTCACGGACACCCTCTTCCCACAGATTCCCACCATCGTGTCTTTTCTTTCCTCCTTTTTTTTTTTTTTTTTTTTTGTCTTTTTGAGACCGGGTCTCTCTATGCAGTTCAGGCTGGCCTTGAGCTCACTTTGTAGCCAAGGGTGGTCTCGAACTCTCTGCAATCCTCCTGCCTCAGCCTCCTGAGTGCTGGGGTGACAGGACCTGCTCTCTTTTCATCTTAGTGTTTCAGTATTTTCCCTGCTCTTAGACTCCTGGATTTTAGCCAGGAGTGGTGGCTCACGCCTGTCATTCCAGCTCCTGGGAGGCTGAGGCAGGAGGATCACAAGTTTGAAGTCGGCCTGGACTACACAGTGAGTTCAAAGTCAGCTGAATTCCACAATGAGACGCCATCTCGGAAAAAAAAAACTGTATTTTAGATTTTATTTCCACTTTGAGTATGTGATAAACTCATGGAAATCTGCTTCCTAAGGTAATGACCTAGTCCTCGCTTTGACACTAAGCACTAAGGTGAAGACCTAGGAACTCGGCCTTTCCACCCGGAACTCACCCCACTGTCCTTGCCAGGCTGACGACAAGCACAAAAGCCAAGTTTGGAAAACTCCTAGGAAATGAGATCTCAGTCTGTCAGTGACTTCACAGATACGAATACACACGTACATACACCACTTAAAAGGTCACCTAGCACAGCTTACGGAAAAAACCGGAAAAACCAAGATGAGGGAAGAAGGTATCTCGACTAAAGAGAAAGGGAAAGAGGTTAACAGTGGAAGTCAAGTGAGGGGGGTACTTCTAAGCTGAGTTGTTGAGAGCCTGCTGCGACCCAGGTCCTGTGCTGGTACTGTGGATCCACCTGCAGTCCCAGCACTCTGGGAAGCTGAGGCAGGAGGATATTGTGCTGCAGCCCGGCCTGTGCAAACAGTGAGACCCTGCCTCAAAAAGGGCCAGGGATGTGGCTCTGTGCCAGTACCCTGAGTCCAAGCCCCAGCACTTTAACAACAATAATAATGTAAAAACCACTCTCACGCAGAAGGAAGAGAAAGTAGCTTCGGCTTCCCGCCCCAGCCGAGGCCCTTCCTGCCTGGCTCCCTTCCCACCCACTCCCAGCTTCACGTTTCTCCCAAGCTCACTACTACCCCGTTTCCTTCCTCTTCTCCTTCTCTTTCCAGAACGCCAGCTCCCCCAGGAGCCAGCCTCGCGTCTGCCCGGCACTGCTGGATCCACAGTGCCCGGGACAGGACCTGGGTCGCAGCAGGCTCTCAACAACTCAGCTGAAGGAACAAATCACTGCAGCGCAGATCAACTCAGAGCCTTGCAACCGTGGGGCGCAGCTGCGGCCTGCTCCTCGGACACCGAGGCTCGGAAGAACGTGACCAGCCGCTCCTCCCGTTACACACCGTCATTCCGCACTCATCCTACCAGTGCTACCACTAGAGAGACAGAAAGGAGACACACAAAGCCAGGATCAAAGTGCACAAAGGAGGTGCCAGGAAGTCACCCGGCTCTGGTCTGGTGCTAACAAACAAGAGGAGATGGGAAATCCTGTGTGGCTGGCAGTTCCACAAACACCGCGCTCCTCCAGGGCTCGGCCCCTCCTGCCGCAGCTGAGTGGGCGCAGGCGTGTGCGGAGCACGGGGTGGGGAGCAGAAATGCCTCTGCAGGGTGGACATGCATGGAAGCAAAGGAAACACAAGGAAGGGAGGCAGAGCAGGCAGGGCGGAGGGGCAAGGGCACTGAGAGAGGCCTGCCGGGAACACAACGCCAGCAGGGAAGGAGAAGGTGGGGGAGGACAGGGAGGAAGAAATCAGAGAACACGCATGCGCCCAGGGAGGGTGGCGGCGCCCTGTGCACCCAGGAGCAGCGAGCTACACTGTTATGCTGCAAACAGGTACGGGGCCACAGGAAAGGGGTGACAGAAGCAGTGGCACTGAGTCAACACCAGGCCCTGGGGGGACTAGCAGGGTGGCGGGAGGTGACCGTGACAGGTGCCACTGAGCTGATTCACACTCACTGGCTTACACCCTGAGCAGCCAGGTGCCAGGTGCACGGGCACTTCTCCGCAAGGCCGCCTACAGCCAGTGAGACTGTTTCTAAAATGCCAGTAAAATACCTGGGGCTCACCACACCGCTCACACAAGTGGGGCCGTAGAGGACTCTCATCTGGGGTAAGAGCCCTGACTCCTGTGCAGTGACATTCTGGGCTGGTGGCACGGTCCCCAGAGGTGGGCGTGCCACATTCTTGTCAGGAGGGGGAGGCCTGGCCCCGGGGAAATGACTACAGTACACAGCCTGCTTGTTCACACAAAGCAACAATGCCGGCTGCAGAATGTACGCTGCAGAACGTGGAGGGACGTGCTGGGGTTGTGGGCGAACTCAGCTCTCCAGTGCGCATCTGTGTGCCTCCTCACACGCCTGGCCCTCAAGGGTTAAAACCAGCCTAGGCCTCTGTGGAGCTGAACCAATCATGCTGCTCTTGGGGACATCACGTGCCTAAGGGGACGTCCTGGAAAGGCCAGGGGCAGCCGTGGCAGGGACCTGGCCTGGGAGAGGCTCTCCCGCAGCTGCCACTCCACCGCTCCACAAGGGTGCAGGAACCACGGGCCCCTCGCTACTGCTTCAGACAAAACCAGGACATTCCGGGATGGGGTTGGCAGTTCCCCACACAAACTCCTCTCAGCTCACACAGAAGGCACACAAAGCATGCCCTGCTCTCCGCCCATCTCCCACTTGTTTAGTATTTATAAAAGCTGATTACAAAACACAAACTTATCACTTAAGCCTCCAGCCAAGTGTGAAATCACTCAAATGTTTACACTAAGCAGACTTCAAGCCCATCAAACGCAGGTGTGCGAGAGACCTAGTTGACCCCCAGACTTCCGTACTTATTTTTCTGTCCGTACCAGGGGTTGAACTCACGACCATGCACTTACAAAGTAGGCGCTTATGCTGCTGAGCTAAATCCCCAGCCCCAGACTTCACGCTTTCAAGCCACAGCCCAAGCAGAAAGCTGTTTTTGTTCTCCTTATAGTCAGCCCTCCACATCTGAGGGCCCACATCTGCAGGGTCGACCAACTGCTCACTGAAGAATTTGGGGGGAAATTCAGCCTTCATATTTATAAGTGTTTATTGTGACTGACCTTTTGTCATTATTACCTAAACCACAGAAAACAACGATGCCCTTGGCATATCTGTTGAATTAGACAGTAGAGGTCACCTACAGAGGATTGAAAGTACAGGAGGGCGCGTGGGTCACACACAGATGCCACGGGGACTTGGGTACCTATGGATTTGGGTACTGGGACCAGTCCTGCACATGCACCGAGGGGTGGGTACCACCAGGCCTTTCATTCAGGTGCTAGCTGCTGGTGCTGTATGCACGTGTGTGTATAACTGTGGGAGCACCTGGGTGGACAGGAGATTCTGATAGGACAGCGGGCGGCTGCAATGCTGATGACACTGCCAGTTTGGTGGCAGGGCAGCAGGCCTTTCTTTCCTACAGCTGGAGGTAGGGAGTTTCCGGCTGGAATGAGTTTCTCCTGCTTGCCCTGAACATCCAGGCCCCCCAGCTCCTGCTACACCACACAGCCAGCCTCGTCTTGCTCAGAGGTGAGAGACGCTGGGTCCTTGGAGTAAAAGGAGGGCCCGTTCCAGCTAGGCAGCTGCAGGGGCTCAGGAACCCAGCTACTGATGTAGGCAGCTTTGGACAGGGCACAAGGCAGCTCCGGAAGAAGCCCCAACTGCGAGGGGACAAGGGAGAGCAGTCTGGCAAAATCAGGGCAGGACACAGCTGCTCCACCAAGCCTGACAGAGCAGGGAAGGAATGGGCCTTGTAGGCAGGTACAGAGCAGCTGGCCCAGTACCCACAGGCTGGAGACGTTTGAACAACAAGCCACCCGCCTCCTGAAAAGCCAGGAGAAGTCCAGGGCTTGCTGGCCACGGCTAAGATGTCCACAGCATGCACTGGTCAAAACAAAAAGCAAATATAAATCAGTCAGCACACCAAGATTCCAGACTCGGGTATGGATCAGACACAAGCCCAGATGGAGAACGCAAAGAGGATGCAGTGATGTCCCCACTCCCCCTCTAGGCCTAGAGGTTCACGGCACAGCTTCTCAGGTTAACTTCTGTGCCTGCGGGACCAAGGCGAGACCAAGGTGCTCCGACGTGACTGGAGAACCAGCAGACCATGAGAAAGCTCGCAGGCCGAGCTCACAGGCTGAGCTCTTCGGAAGGCGAACTCTGCTGCTTCCTTGTTAGCAAAGCAACAGAATACATGGATCCGCTCTCCAAGGTTTACTTTACTTAACCAGGGCAGGGTTCTGCGGCCACCGTCCCTGGGCCAATTCATGGAGGACTCCATTAGCCATGGGAAAGGAGCAGGGACCTCAGAATCGGGAGCCAGGCATACTCAGCTGGAGACTATCGCCCAAGTAGGCAACCAGCCAGCCACTGCTCCTGCTGTATAAAGCGCAGCAGAGAGGGCTGCAGATTCCTCTCCGACCTCTCCTCACCTCTCCTCACCTCTCAGGGAGCCAGGCAGGAAAGCTCATTAATTCCTGAGACCACCTGGGGCAGCCTGCCTGACCTCCTGGGCTGGGTGGGCTCTTCCTTCCTGGGTGGGGCGGGCCATGCAGGAAAACAAGGGAGGGCTTCCCAGGTACTCGCCACCGCAAACCTCAGGCCACTGAAAAGAGCTCTCTTTGTGTCAGTGGGGTGCAGTGCACGTCTGTGATCCCAGTACTTGGGAGGCTGAGGCAGGAGGATCACTGCAAGTTCCAGGCCAGCCTGGGCTACATAGTGGGACCCTGCCTCAAACCACAAACAAACAAACAAAAAACCACATTTTCCTTTCCTTAGGTCTGAAGGCCCTGCAAGCCTTGGCTCCACTCTCCAAAGCTGCAGGCACAGGTGGAAAGAGTACTACGGTGCCATTTAGCCGACATCTTATGTGTCCCAGCCCTGCCTCCCCAAGCCCCTGCCAGACTCACCGTGACCACGCTGTGCTAGGATCCCGGCCGCCGCGGCAGCCTTCCTCTCCCTCCCCCGGCGCTGCAGTGAGCAGCTGAGCCGGGCTCCCTGGGCACACACAGCTTCCCCACCTCCTGGAGAGCGAAGGTTAAAGAGGAAAACTCGGCAGGCAGGCACAGGACACAGCAAGGCAGCCTGCAGGCCCCAGGGCAGGGCCAGGGCGGGGCGCGGCCACTGGTCAAGGCCTGTGTGCGAAAGGCTGCCAACGCGGGGTTCAGGGCCATCCCCGAGGAGACCTGTGTGCAGCCCCTCCTCAGACTGGACGACCCACGACAGCCATGCAGTCCACGTCTCGAGCGTGCCCAGCACCCTCCAGGCCCCGGTTCATGCTCCAGGACTGAAACCAAAGCTGAAGGTCACATGGAGAGTTCTGCTCACGATTCCTACCCGGATGAGGACAGGGACGCAGCTCGGTGCTGCGCCTGATTCCCAGTACTGGGAAACCAGGAAGCGCAGAGACAACTGGCTATGAGGCCACAGGGCCTTGAGTGAGGTGCATTTTGCCTTATGGTTTCGTCCCCTCTCCAGGAGACCAGCTGGCCCTGCGGCAGGACCACCCGTGCACACACCGGGAAAAGGCTACGCGCTACAGTGGGGAGCCAGGGTACGCCCTGCATCCGAGCGAAGAGAGGCTGCCTGGATGCAGACGGACCTCTTGAAGCCTGGTCCGAAACCTTCCTCAGGCACTGAAGGCCCGGTGCCTGCCCAGCTCCCCGCCTTGGCCCCCCCACATCATGGTCTCGGTTCTGTGGGTCTCCGTCTGGTTTGAACCACAAAGCAATTGCTACTTCAGTCCTGAGTCCAGGCCCGCACCCCTGTCGTCTTCCTGAAGCCCCTCCCACCCCTTCTCGGCTCCCCTACCTCCCGCTTGCCCTCTCCCACCACTCCAGAGTGCATGGTGCTCAGCTCCACCCTGCATTTTGCTGGGGTGCTGGGATCAAAATGCAGCACATGCCAGGCAAGCACTCTACTGAGTGACACCCCAGCTTCCTTTTTTTGTGGGGCATACTGAGGATCAAACTCATGTTTACCAGGCAAGTACTTGAGCCACTGAACCAAATTCCTGGCCCTCTGATCCCCCTGTAATTTGAGATAGGGTCTCACTAAACTGCCTAGGCTGGTCTTGAACTCAAGACCGTCCCGCCTCTGCCTCCCTCCTAGCTGGGATCACAGACATGCACAATATTCAGCTTCCATTGTACTCTTTTTTTTTTTTTTTTTTTTTTTTTGTCTTTTTCCTTTTTATCGGTACTGGGGATCAAACTCACATGGAGAGTCCTGCTCATGATTCCTACCCGGAATACTGCCTGCTTCCAAGGCAGGTGCTTATGCGGCTGAGCTAAATCCCCAGCCCCCTTCCATTTTACTCTTACACTGAATTATCCTATATTTAACTGTGAATGAGTAAAACTTCGTTTTGAAAAACACATTTCTGCAAATGCACATACTCATGTGTACTCTCTCTCTAGGGGATCCCAGAACGCCGTCACTCTGAAATTCCTCATTAGTGGCCAGGGGTCACTTAGATTTTGTTTCTAAGCAAAGAAACAGGTCCCAAGCCTCACCCTATCTGGAGATGACAGCCTGAAGGAACTGTCCCCGCCCCTTTCCCCAGGAATGGGATTGGCTTTGCCTCACAGAACCTCACAGCTGCAGCCCACACAGGCTAGGCAGGGCAGGCGGTGTGCAGACTGCTCAAGTGGAGCAGCTGTACGTGCCCCCCTCAACTCTGAGACTGTGCCTGGGACACACTGCATGCCTGGCAGGCAGCTGGCGAGTTAACACTCCCGGGTGTTTGCCAGTCTTTCAGGAGTGCATTCTTCTGTGCACTCAGAATGCCACAGGTCACTGAGACTGTCCTGTCATGCATTTCCAGTCCTCTGTACTAATGGTGAGGCTTCCAGCCCTGCAAGAGGGCCCCCGCCCTCTGCCTCAGCAGCCTGGGAATGTGGGCTGGGCAGGCGCATCTGTGGGGAGAGGCATCTGCTTGCCAAGGGACACAGCAGGCAACTGAGGAGGTGCTGGATTGGAAAAGACCCTCTCCGATCCCTTTCAGCAGCTTCCCCCGTCCCTCCTCCGTCTCTCCCCTTGGCGCCCAGCTACGCCCAGGCCTGCCTTCTTCCTCCCCAAGGACGGCAGGCAGTGTGCCAGGCCTTCCCAGTACCTTCAGGCTGTGCATGCTCCCCTTCCGGGGGACGGGCTCCAAAGGGCTCCAAGCAGCCTGTCATCTCTGGGAACTGGCCCTCCTGCAGCCCTCCACCCTCTGCCCCATTAGCTGGAGATTAGTCCTCTGTGACCGGCTATCTGGGCTCCCCTCCCTCCTGGGGGGCACACACACAGTCCCACTGCAAGGAACCAAGGATACACTCCAGACCCTGGCCCGGGAATGGGGTGCAATGGGGGGCTGCGGCCAGCCCCACTCTCGGTGACGTCACACGGCCTTACCTCGTCCCACTCCGAGGCAAAGGAGGGCGACTTCTCCAGCCTCTTCTTCCCGATGCTACAGCTGGACAAAGACTCGCTCCGGCTCCCCATCGCAGCGTCCTCCGTGGGTGAGCAGGTCAGGAGATCAGAGTCAGACTTGGACAAACTGCGGCTGAGTTTGAGCTCCGCTTTGGGTTTGTTGGTGGGAGGGGCCCGGCTTCTGGCCCCACTCCGGTCTCCTTCTTCCTCAGCACCAGCAGGGTGCGGGGGCGCAGTGTGAGTCAAAGTTTCGGGGTGCGATCGGCCGTTGGCAGGGGGCAGGCCTGCTGGGTAGCCTGCTCTCTTGCTCTGGTCCAGGCTGCCAGGCTGGGAGACCCCGGGAGTGTGCACGCCCGTCTCCTCCAGCTGCATGCTGGCTCCGTGGCCGTCGCCCTGCTTCGGGGTCCCGTCTGGATGGCTCTGGCCCGTGGCAGACAGCAGCTGGAAAGGGTCCTGCCCCACCTCGCACACCGGGGAGGAGCCGTGGAGGAGACCTGAGAACTGCTCTGGGACCTGCCCGTCCTGCCCCTCCGCAGAGTGCTGGCTCCGGCTGCCACTGCTTTGCCTGTGGTCTTGGAGTGGACGGAGAGAAATAAAAAATTAAACGTGGCAAAAATCAACAAAGTTCCATTGCAGTGAGCATAGAGCAGAGCAAAAGAATTCAAAGACGGGGGAAGAGAGAGAAGCTGACGGGCTGGGGAGGGGACTGAGGGAAGGAAGGAAGCAAACAGCTTCGTACTGTTCTAAATGCTCGGTTTGTACCCAAAGCTGGAGCACTTATGAAATTCTAAACACTGGCCTGATTAATGCTATCTGGCAGTCCTCCGTGCCATTAAGCGTTCTGTTAACATTAACAACCAGCCCTGGCTATATAAGGTGAGGAGAAGTGCTAGCTGACCGCATCCGACAGAAAGGACCGAGGAGGACAGGGTGCAGGGACCTGGAGTCACACAGAGCAGGACACAGAGAGGAGCCGGGCGCTCAGGCGGGCGGGTGCCAGCGAGCAAGCAGAGGCGAGCCTGGCTCTTGGAACATCTGATGCATTTCCATAAAGGCCAAAGTGTTATTTAGAGCACCGCCCGCCCTTCCTTTGGCAAGCAGGCGACCCAGAAAAAAACAAACGGAGGTCACGATCCCCAACCTGCCACTTCTGGAATTCCTTAACTCAAAGTGCAGAACCCAGGGCAGAGAAGTAACTGCTTCCTTCCTTGCAGGGGTCTTCGGAGCTCCACGCCTTATCCTTCCTTCCTCGGGAACAGACTTTTCTTTCTTTTTTTTTAAGAATATGCACATCTCTTGCCTGCCAAAGCCTCCCAGCTGCTCATATTTGTTTAAGTTTAACCTTAGCTGATCTACCAAAAAAGAAATGGTCTAGCTTGTCACCACCAGGGGACATGTGCGGTCTCTGAAGACTTTGCTAACATCCTAGAAACCTGACACCACTGGCTTAGGAAGCCAAGTACTACTTTACACCCAAAAACCTCTGCCCCAAAGCAGCATAAATAACTGGTGGAACCAGAGTCCAACAGCCAACACTGGGACACCCCGGGGCTTCCCCCAGAGAATGCAGTCCCGTTGGACTTCCGCCCAGGTGCCCGCACTAGATGGGGTTCCAGAGCTGACACCCAAACGTCTTCCTCTACCACCTGTGCCTCTGCGCATCCGCCACACCACGCCCCACCTGCCTGCGGTGCCCCAAAGCCACTCATGAGATCAGAGACTCTTAGAACCAAAAGGGTCAAGTTCAAATACATATACATTTTTAATTTTTGTTGTCTTAGGTTTTGATTTTTTAGACAGGGTCTCGCTTTGTAGTGCAGTCTGGCTTTGAACTCTTGGTGATCCTCCTGCTTCAGCTTCCGAAATGCTGGGATTACAAGCATGCCCACCCTACTTGAGCGAGCTCAAGTATTTTTACAGACAAGGAAACAGCCCCACAGCCCCTCGGTGGTTTGTCCCAGGCAGTGGGGGAGAAGACTCTGACCCAGGAGTCGGAGCCAGAGCGCTGGTTCCGGGCCAGCTGTACTGGTCTCCAGCTGCACGGCCTGGGCACTGGCACCTTTGTATCTTGGGGCCTACACACGCCTTAAACTCCTTTAACACTATGATGGTCCCCGCTGTGTGGCAGCGGCAAACTTGTCCCTCTTGGGGTGCAGGGCCCCGCGTGGCGCCTCTCCTGCTGCTTCTTGTGTGGCTCAGTCTCCACTGCCCCACAGCCCAAGCCCCTTCCAGCAGCCAGCGGAGCAGAGAGAACAGGGTGAGCACCTGCCCCCTCCCTGCGGAGCTCAGGGTCTGAGCTCTCAGCCTGCAGAGGGAGCCAAGAGCTGGACTCTGCTGCCTCCTCTACTTCTGACCCCTTTGGAACACTTGCCCTCCCACCCCGCCCATAAACCCCACTTCCCAAAGGTCAGGGTGTGAGCAGTATACAAGTGGTGAGCACCTCAAACATCTCCAGGGAGGAAGCCGCTAGATGCTTGCTCCAGACAGGCTGGGCCAGGTGTCACAGCTACAAACATCCTAATGGCAGCCGGCAGGGTGCACGCTGCACCCCACAACTTAGAGACACCTATCTCAGGAGGAGGAGGAAGGTGTAAACCACAAAAATTATTCTCCTTGAAAAGAGCAGCTGTCTCCATTTTGGATAAATTTAACCTATCTCCATGCACAGGGCTGGCCGGGCTATTTCTTTGTCCCTTCAACTGGCTTTAAGCAATGTAAACTGGGCTGGCTAAGGAGCTGATGTGTAAACTCGAAAGGTGACAGCTTAGTGTTACCCCACCTGGGGACTCCCCAAACACATGGTTGAGCCAGGACTGAGCTTCAAGAAAGAGGCTGTGACCTCCTGGGGCAAACAGGATTGTAAATCAGAGCTGAAGCACGGACCCCAAATTATTAGATGCTGCCTCAGTGGCATTATGCAGATTGCTCGCTCTGTATTTCCTGCCCTCTGCTTATGGCAGAGGTCTCAGACCTCCTACCTAGCCCGGCTCACAGTAGTCAGTCACATATTTCCCGCCACTCTGTCACCTGTTCCCGAGCCACTCCCCTCATGGAGAATTAATAAAACCTGGGTCGGGCTCTGGGCCACGGCCTTTGTTCCGGTGAACACCATCTCGGCTGGACTCAGGGCCCCTCGGCTCCCTGTAACTGTATATATGCCTCAGGGTCTTTCTTCTCGCCGTGGGTTGCACTGGAATAACTGCCTACAGTTCCAATAACTTCTCCTTGGGATTACAGATATAGCCCGATGGGAAAGGGTTCTCTACAGAGGAGGAAGCCGTCACCGCTGAGGGGTGCAGCAGTCCAAGGCCTCAGCTTCAGTCCCCGCTACCACAAAACAAGCACACAGCAGCTGGTGGCCAGAACGAAGCTGCCCGCTGACTCTGCACGTTAGGCCACAGAGCAGATAGCATGTGACCGCACATCCTCAGCTCAGGGAAGAGTCAACCAGGCTGTAAAATTTGCCACTGTTGCTGGGGATTTAGCTTAGTGGCATAAGCGCCTGCCTGGCAAGAGTGAGGTTGTCAGTTTGATCCCCGGGACCAAAAAAAGAAAAGAAAATTTGCTACTGTTGCAAAAATTACGGTGTTTTTTTGTTTGTTTGTTTGTAATGGTACTAGAGGTTGAACCCAGGGCCTTTGCACTGAACTACATTCCCAGTTCTTTTCATTTTTTAATTTTGAGCAAGGGTGCTGCTGGCCTTGAACTTGTGATCCTCCTGCTTCACCTCTGGGACTACACTCTAACGACTGTCTCTAGATATTACCACATGTGAGTGAAAAACAAGATGCTGGGAACAGGACCGCAGGCTTCTCCTTTAGGTCCACTTCCAGCTTCTTATTCAACACTCTGGGCCCTGGTCAGGGTGGGGAGGCCTGACAACAGGACAGCATGGCGGCCCAGAAGTGGGGTCTGCCTGGCTGCCCTGCCGGGGCGGACCTCGGGACACAGGCCACAGAGAATGTTCCGACGGCTGCTGTGGGCGCTGACAATGAGGGCCCTGTCACACAGCCACCATTCATCAGGCCAGTCGTCAATGAAGAAAGAGGGGCAGCTGCCAGGAGCTCAATAACAGATGACGCTGGGGAAGGAAGTGGGCAGAAAGAGAGAAGGAATGGAAACTCGCGGGGAGCTCCATGGAGAGAGAGGAAGAACCTCGAGCCCCCACACGAGGGCCGCGGAAGCCCTGCAAGGGCTCCTAGCACCGTCTTCCCGGGCTCTCCGGAGCACAGACCTAGTCCCTGAAAGGCTCATCAAGATCTAAGGACCTCGGAGCCCTAACGGGCGGGTACTGCTTCCCCAGAAAACCATCAAAGGCTAAGCTGCGTGCCCAGCAAACCGCAGGGTGGGGAAAGAACCACTTGATGGCTTCTTTCCTCTGTAGAGTCCAGCATGATACGAGGTTTTTAGGGACGAGGCATGAACCATTTATTGCATGACGGAGAGACATCTGAGGCAACGACCCCCATCCGTGCCTCATCCTTGTCCCTCTAAGTTTGTAATCTTTTTTTTCTTTTAATTTTTTTTAAAGCCAGTAAAATTTAGCAGTGGGGGTGGTGGTATTAAGTTTGTAATCTTTTTATTGGTACCAGGGATCGAACTCATGACTGCCTGCTTGGAAGGCAGGCGCTTATGCCGCTGAGCTAAATCCCCAGTCCCATAAGTTTGTAATCTTGATAGCACTTATTTCACAGGATTACTGTGAGAATTAAACTACTTGCAAAGCATTTAGAAGCGAGCTGGGGAAGGCAGCTCTCAGCGATGGTAACCACCGCCATCATCTGCCTGCGGGAGCTACCATAGCTCTCTCTGCTCGCAGGTGAGCCCACCCCTCCTCCAGTCCTCACAGGCTGCCACATGGGTCAGCACAGACCCGGAGCATGACAGTGGCCTGAAGACACAGAGCATTTCACGATCAGCCACCACCTCCATCACCCTCGAACTCCCACGGCAGAAGGGACAGAAGGTAACATGAAGGAGGGCCGAGCACGGCTCTGGGGCCGGCCCTAGAAAGCCCATCAGTGGGCACGTACCAACTGTCTGCCCCAGGGGACACCGGCTGGCATGAGGATGAAGATGCCAAGCCCGCCTCAGGGGGCTTACCAGCTGTTGGGAGAGGCTGGCCACTCAGAAGGAATTAGAAAGCAAAAAGAAACAGATGCTTCGGGAAAGGCATACAGCAAGCTGGTATGGTGGCGTATGGCTGTAATCCCAGCACTCTGGGAGGCTGAGGCAGGAAGATCACAAATTCAAGCACAGCCTGGGCAACTTGGAGACTTAGTGAGAGACCTTGTCTCAAAAGGGCTGGGGATGTAACTCAGCAAGAAAGCCCTTGGTTCAAAATCCAGTACAGCGGGGCTGGGGATTTAGCTCAGCAGCATAAGCGCCTGCCTTGCAAGCAGGCAGTCCTGAGTTTGATCCCTGGTACCGATAAAAAGGAAAAAGACAAAAAAAAAAAAATTTAAAAAAAAAAAACCAGTACAGGGTAGAAAAAAGACAGAGGAAAGATCAGAGCAGAGAAGAACAGAGAAAAAAAAGAAGGAAGATACCAAATGCAGGGTGAACAGAAAGG